GACAAGCACAAGAAGGGAGAAACTCCCCCCCTGCTTCCAGCACAAGAACGGAAGCCTTACTTCCTTTTACATAAGTGCTTTGCATAGCCAATTTGACAAGCAAAACCATCTCCTTTTTGATGTATTCTTAATGATGAAAATCTTAAGAGAGCTCTGGAGTCTCACAAAATGATTTCACTATACATATGCATGAAGAATCCTCTCTTGGATGGAAAGTGCACTGGTTAGCAAGATGAACAGCGAGATGAATTGGAGGTTGAACAAGGAGACTCAGAACTGAGTTACAGTCGCAGCTCTGCTACCACACACCGTCCAGCAATGTCAATTCTGCCACTTCAGTAATCTATCTGAACCTTTGTTAACCACTTAGGTACATTAAATACTTAAAAACATTTACTAGTTTGTCACAGCTGACTTCAAGGTTTTTTTTTATCTACTGACAATGGGTGCTAACATCCCTTCTCAAAGCTTATAAAGATCAAATACATAAATATTCCAGTAATCTAAGGCATACAAAGGAGTGAGCAAAGACAGCAGAGAAAACCACCGATTAATTCAGATTTATGACTGGCACAGATAAAAATGCCCAAGTTCCCTAATAAATCTAAACACACTGTCATGCCCAAGGCTCTCACTTTACGTTACTAGTATTTGTTTCAGCATGCGGGAGGCCTTGTAAACCCCCAGCATTTGCTGAAGTTGCTTGGGAGCACAAAAAGAGCACCTCGTTCCCCATCCTAGCCCATAATGTTACATTGCTTTGTGTGCATAGCTCAAGGGTGGTTTTTTTTGCACAGATAGTCCTACAGTAACTTCAGAGCCTCCATGGATACTCTCAACTAGCTGGAACAATACCTACCATATTTATTTTCCTGGGAAGTGGCACAGGGGTTTCTGGCAGGGTATGTGTTAAGTCATTAGACTCTTCAGATGCTTGCCTTTGGACGGTGTCTCTAGATTGTATGTTTGGAGAAAGATCTAAGGAGTGAGATTTTTGATTCGCCTCTGAGGGCTGAGGCTTCGGAGATGCTTCTCCACCTTGAGTTTTAGCCAACAGCTCTCCTAGCTGAGGTTTTGGAGGAAGGTCCTTCATTTGCGGCTTTGGAGGTAAGTCTCCAAGTTGTGGTTTTGGTGGCAAGTCTCCTAGCTGAGGCTTTGGGGGTAGTTCTCCAGGCTTTGGGGGTAAATCTCCCACTTGAGGTTTCTGAGTTAATTCCAGAGGCAGAGGCTTTGGGGGCAAGTCTCCAGGTTGTGGTTTCTGTGGTATATCGATGGACAGTGAGGGCTTCTGAAAGATTTCCGTGTGCTGATGGGATTTATCTATTGAAAGATGATGACTGGTTTCTATTTTTCTTAGTGCCACTAAAACAAAAGAGCATAACAATGTTTTTTCACAATCTCATCTTAATATTAAAGAATTTAGGCACATATCAGAACTGCAATTGTGTAATGACCACATGGTCACTGAGCCCCGGTAACTGTCCATACGTCCTCCTAGTTGATGACAAATGCAAGGTACTTTTACTTAACCCTCTTTCACTCGGGTCTCATTTCATTGCTCCTACTGGAGGCCAGGAATGCTTAAACCAACAGCTACTAGGTGTCAATCTATACATTAAGTACTTAAGGTGAAATAAGGTGATTGCTAAGCCAAGAAACGTTAAATATTAGAAAAGATGTATTTTGCACAACAATCTACCAACCCACTTATGTGACTGCAATGAAAATTCTCCTTAATGCCAATTATTCATATATACAGTTGAACTCCATACAAAAACCCCACCAAGTCTCAGAATTAGTACCTGCAAAATCTTAAAGAAGAGAGTGAGTGAGGATGTATGTCTACACAGTGTATGGAACAAATGATATTACAGACATTCAAACCAAAACTAATAAAAAATAAATTATTTTAAATATTTACAACTTAGTAAGATGAGAAGCTTTAAACAAGCGTATTTTGCAGCTTTTATGGAAGGAAATTGAAAATAGTTTTTCAAATAGTTTTTTCGCAGTATCCTGCATCTATTCTACTGCTAAGTTCCCTAAGAAAACTTGACTGAAATCTACCTTAAAAACAAAACCAAAACAATACAACAAAAAAACCGCAAACCCCTAAACCAAACAACTTTGTATTAAAGCAGATGAAGGGGGACAGGAGAGAAAAAAGTTATGACCCGTGATGAAAGCAACATGTTTTGATTAGAAGGAATTATTTCCTGTGGCATCAAGCACTGCTTTAGTATCTTATAATACAAGCCAAAAAGGTGGCCTGACATTTTACTACAAAAAAACCCAATACTCGCTTTGGATATCACTTCCTGCCATAACACTTCCATGCTCTATTTATGGTTATTTATACCAAAAAAGGAAACCTGCACATTTTCCATAGAAAAAATTGTATAGTTACTATTAGATCCCTCCATTTAAAAAAAGTCTGTGTTGATACTTGTATATGGGTTTCTCTCCTAGACTTATCTAGTAGCAAACATCTAAGCACTCATCATCCACACTGGTTTGAGCCCTAAGTAAATGATACAAAAACCCTGATAGTAGCCCCAATCAAAGTGCTTTGATTGAGACCACTATAAATTTTCACCCATATCATTTTAAATCAAGGAAGCATTGACTTCCTGTGGTACCCTATCGCGTCACTGGTGTCTCTTTCAAAAGACAATACCATGTCATAATAATTATAATTTAGTAAAGTTGAAATTTCACATGTGCATTTTCACATTTCTGTTAAAGTGATCTACACTCTCAGTTTCAGTCATCTAGCTACAGAAGTTTGGAGAGGCATAATTTCCTGATCTTCAGGCTCTGTAGTGATCACCCACTCATACAGATATAATGTATTTTTGATGGATTCTGCGTCAGACAGAGCTACAAGGTAGGTCCACTTTTGACTTTATAGTCAAACTGGTGCAAGAAGTCAAAAAACTATATAAAACCTGCCATAGGAATATAAAGAGAGACTAGAAAAAAAAACGTTTCTAAAAAGAAAGGGCCATAAAGCGTTCACTGGGATGATGGTCTCAGCAATTTCAGCACCAATACATAAGTGAGCATGTAACAGTACCTGATCCTTTTCCAAGTATTTATAATGACAACAATACTGATCACCGAAACATGGCAACAGATACAACTTCCTTCAAGGGCATTAAGAAATTGTCTTATGGCTAATAGGAATTAAAACAAAGAGTTTACCAATGAGAGTGGTCAAAGAAACAGAAGCCCAGAGAGGTTATCCATGGAGATACTCAAAATGCAGCTGGACATGGCCTTGAGCAATCTGTTCTCATGTCAAAAAGTTAGCCCTGGTCTAAGTGGTGTATTGGACCAGCTGATCTCCTGAGGGCTCTTACAGCTTCAACTAAGTTTATGGTGGTTGTTTTTTTCTTTCCTACTTATGTTCCATAGGTGTAACTATTTTTTTTTTTTTTAGTTTAATAAAAACCTTCCCAATCTTCCAAAATCCTTTCAGTTTTGCTAAAGTTTCATGGTTTGTGGCATTTTAGAAATAAAACTTTTGCTGAAAAGATCCACATATTTAGAAGAAGTATCTACTTTTGCACACATTTAAAAGATATCGTTATGAGAATACCCACAAAGAGAACCCTTACCTTTTTGAGGTAGTTTGGGAAGAACTCTTGGGCCAAGTGCAGTCTTTGCAGTCCCAGTGCTAAATCAACAGATGTGAATTATTAGTGCTTACAGCTGTTATAAAACATACTTTTTTCTTTCCCATTTTCCCCTTCTACACGACCATAAATAGAAAAAAAAACAAAACAAAACAAAACAAAAAAACCCACGAATTTCTTTTGCTTCTTTTAGGTAACCATCTTGTCTGTGGATCAATCCTAAAACTCAAAAGCAGCGTTAAGAACGAACTGCTTTTTTCAGAGAAAAAGACACACAAACCCCACACCTTTAATGCTACACGGAAGATTTATTCTACGAACTATGGTATGTGCAAAAATGTACTCTGAAAATAGGTGAAGCTGAAAGACCAGCTTCAGTGGGCAGATCCTGGACTTTAAGGAAAATCTGGTCTTTAAAATGATTATACTGAAGCATTCAAAACATAATCTGTCCTTTATGTCAGTGGTTTGAAGTTTCCCAGCCCTCAGCCTATGCCTTTTAGCCTACTGCACGGTATGGTATTCTATTACACATAAACTGCAGCTGCATTAGGAGACGAAGCTTCTGCTACTCCAAGGAAATACTGATGATTGTGGGAAAACAATATGCTTTACCCTGTCAACCTGTGTTACAGCTGTGTTAGCTACTCACAGTGGTAAGCAACAACACAAGCAGGACAGTTGCGAGTAATTTAATTACAGCATAAAATCTGAGATCGTTGCATATTGCCAAAACTTTCTATCTGTGCTTTCTGTTGACGACTTTTTTTTTGAGAATTAACAACAGTCTGGCTCAAATTTGCACACGTGGCACGTGAGGGCAAAACAAAAAACCACCAAATTTCTTTCACCAAAACCACACCTGAGTCACTTTTACAGAAAAGGACTGTGGAAGAAAAGAAGAAAGCCAATTGATTTAGGGCATAAAAATCAAACAATAAATAATAAATCAGTATCACCTCAAAATAATTACTCAAAAAACAAGGAAAAGAAAAATGGGTGAGGAAGTTGCCAGAATATGTTCATCAGAGCAGAGTCTTCTGCATCAACAGCCTTGATTCTGGCATTATTTGTCTCTGAAGCTAACGTTTCAAAATTAGCATGATGAAAGACTTTTATCTCAATTTCCTAGCTTTTTTAAAATAGTCAAAATACATCATGACACAAAACTGAAAGAACAGCCAAGCTCAATCTCTATTCAATAAATAATCACCTCGGCCTTTATCTAATGCCATCAAGCACTAGGACCACACTTTTACCCTTGACTTACAAGTATCAAGGACGGCACCAGCTCTTTGTGCTACAGAACACCACCGCTTTTTCCCTGAGTACTCAGCGTCACCTGGCATTCAGCAAACACGGCAAGTCAGCCGTGCTACCCACAACACGTCCATTGCCTGCCCTGACAAGGCAGATCACAGACTGAGGAGCATCCAGAAACTCTACCTACACATCTCCTACTGTGATTTCTTTGACGTTACACATCCATCTCCAGTCATGGCCTGATCATGCACACTTGCGGTCATGCAAGGTCTCTGTCGTGTTGCCCGAGGCACATGTTTATTAGAATTACTATGCTTTGAACCTCAGGACCTTGGAATCACAACACAGAAAGAGGAGTAACAAACACTAAGCGACAGGAATGTATGGCTATCCTTGCTACTTCAGCTATTGAAAACGACTTGTAAAGTACTGACCTGATGAACCACGAGCTAAAAGCAGTTTGTGTTATTACAGACTGTGTCAGCGCGTAAGCTCGATGGACTGGAAAGCAGTTAAGCTGGAAGAGTGAGATGAATTCTCTCTCTTCTAGAGCTATCTTCGATGCCAGCCTGTACCCAGAGTGACACGCCTGTAGCTACAGGCATGCGACCTCACACTGAAGCAGACAAAATGAAATGCCAGGAGGCATGAAAATAAAACTTTGGTCCTGCTGTACTGCAGTCTGAGGCAACACTTCCCAGCTCAGAGTGCACTTCTGTAGGAGCAGTAGATAGATTCTGGCACAAGTCGTTCTGTCCATCCTGCTCAAGGGATGTACGGACAGCTATGAACATAGTGTAGGAGGCTCAATGAAGCCAAAGTATTTGTACGGTAGTAAGGCATGCAGAAAACTAATGAAGAAACGTATCTAGGATTTTAGTTCATGTGAATGGCATTTTTTTTCTAATTTAGAAATTAGTTATGTTCAGATAAATTTTCATTTTTGCCTTCAAATACACAGATTTTTACCTTGACTGCTGAGACATCCCCTCAAACTTGTTTGCAGCCTTAGTTGAAGGTGGGCCCAAATCATTACCTGAGGTGAAAAAAGCACAATTAAAAAGAAAACATCATTAGGATAGCTGAAATATAATCAGCAGAGGGTGCAACTTAAAGCGAAGCACACATTCTTCCAAGTATCCTCTGTCTACAATGTCTTAAAGATTCTGAAGATCATTCTTATTAATAACTTTGTAACTGAAAAAGTGGCAGGCACCATAATAATCCAACCTGACCTGTCGTACAACCCATTTTAAAACAGGTCTCTGGTAGCTCACATCTTCTGGCAAGGAAAGATTGAATGACATTTCCGAGTTACTGCTGCAGGGCATTTGTTTTGAGTAGTGTTTCAATTTTCTCATAATAGAGAAGACTGCAGACCAGTATCAAATAAATTTATCGCGGATGTTTACATTTGTGTTATGAGGCACATCTTTTTAAAACCACCATGGATTTGATTTTATTCACAAAACATGAAATTTCCAAGGATTTGTATTTTATTCTACATAAAGAGCAGCCTTTGCTGATTTAGTGGCTAAGTCAGTATGTTACCATAACCTGAACGTTAACAGTTGGTAAAGAAAAGATCCTCGGTATACTCAATTCTGTCAAAAGGCAGCAAAATCCATACCCAAGTGCTTCTGAACTCCTTCAGCAGAAGGCTTCTCGTTCATAGCCATCACCATCGCCAAGGTACAGTCATACTAACTATTCCAGTTTAGTGCCTTTATCGTTCCCCCTTCCCTCTTCTATTACAGCATGTCTAAATTGTTTAGACAATCTTAGAACCAACTTCAACAACCATTAGTAAATTGTCACTGAAATAGATGTACAGTGACGTTTAATGATGGCAAAATACTTCCCATGCAAAAGAATGACGTATCTGCCTAGATACCGTTCTTAACGCATTCAAGTCTAAATGAAACAGCAGAAAAGGCTCAGGCTGAGCCTTGCTAAAAATATGGTTATATTTAAAAGAGGGGGAGGGGGGAAAAAAAAAAAAGGTAAGACAAACAGCAAACCCTTCACATGTAGATCCTATGAATACAGCGAGGAAAAATATCTCATGGTTGCTATGGAAATCCAAAATAATCTAAGCGACATTTTTAGAACATCTTTGAATAGCCACTTAATTTGCTTAGACATAAGCTAAGGATTGCTCTGCTTGAAACTTCAATTAATGCACAGATTAGAAAACAAATGCTGAAATTCAATGTAACAAGAAATATAACAACACAGAAAAAAGCTTCTGAAAGGGAAAGCAGTGAACATCCAACAATATTCTTAAACCAAAAAGCACAAAGGCAGATAAAAGAAACTCCCTCTTTTATAAACACAAAACTTAATACTTGCTTAAAATCCAAATGGACTTGAAAATAACCTTTTGTACAGATCTCAGCGAAGGAGAGGAGAGCAGAAAAGAGACAGAAAGAGCAATGTTATTCTCTGGCCCTGCTTTGAAAAGCTGTTCTACTGCTATAAGGTCTTCAGCTCCACACCTGCACCTTTCCCTTTCCTTCACCCGTTGTCTAGGATTTTTAACGAAAAGTTGGAACTAGCTCAGCATCCCTTCCCACCACACTTTGCATTCTACTAGCGTTACATTATATAGCATTCCAGTATATGGTGGTTTAGGTGTTGTTTTGGACTTAAATATTTGGGCTTTTTTACATTTTTAAAAGTCCAAGCTCTCTAAAATGTCTTTACTACCTCTGAAATAGTACAGGGCTGTTAGACTCTAGAACATAGGAAATATTTTTTCCATATCCCAGACATCTGACAAGTAGAGAATTGAAAAGACTGTCGTTATTTGTATTCCTTGAGAAAAAGATTTTGCTTTTCATTGGGCTCTGTACTTCTCTTCAGATTAAAACCTAAATGAAATCACATATTCTACAAGAGTACTCCATGATTTACCACATTTAACTCAATTTGCTGAAAAAAAATGGTGCTTTTAGGCTTGCAAACTTTTTTTTAGGCTAGTAATTTTGTGTTTGTATTGGAACAGAGAGAGGATAGTCCTAAGATATAAGTAGCGTATGGATGACCCCCCCTACCTAAGCACTGGATTCCAGCTCGAAAGTTTACAGGTTTATGGAAATCCTGCCACCAAGACTAAAATTACAGAAAATTACACGGGCCTGAGATTTATAGCTACCGGGAGAAGTTGACTGCATAGAGCAATGTTTATTGAAAAGAGGAAGAATTTGAGTAGTCTGGAAAATAGTTTCTGAAAAGCTTCTGTCAGAAAGGTATTCTGTAAAAAAAGAAAAGGAAAAAAAAGTGCTGTTTCTGTATAACTTCTGCGGCTAGAAGGATGCAAACCTATCAGTCTTTGTATGTGTACAGACAACATCACAAAACCCAAAAACATATTAAGACAACACATGCCCACCAGCCAGGTGTGAACTGGCACAGAGCTCAAGGAAACAAGCTCTTCTGGCAGTCAGGAGAACCCCACAGATTCACCGAGGTGCATCTGCCCCCAGTCAAGACCCATCTAGGTTAATGAGCTGGTCAGGACAGGAGCAGGGGTGAGGAAGCAGATGCAGAGCAGATGCAGATGAGGGGGGCGGGGTGAGGGCAGTTTGGGTAGAGAGGGAGCCAGGAGAGGAGATTGAATTGGGCCCCAGGGGAGTGTGGAATATTTTCATTTTTCTCAAGTGAGACTGAGATACAGAAGCCTGGAAGCTAGAGTGACAGAAGATAGAGCCATTGATTTATCTGAGCTGACGTTACATCAAGCTGCAATCGTTGGAAAGCAAGCACCAGGTAAAAGAAACCAAAGATCATTTATCATCCAGCATAAAGGTTTTCCCCTGCCCTTTTGTTTTGTGTTTCAAAACTCACCCCAAGGAATTGGGCCCTTATTCTGGGGTCCATGAGGTAGTGGGCTTGGTGGGTCAGAGAGGGTTCTTTTGTGTCCTGGGGGTGGGGGAG